TTAATAGGATCAATTTTACTATTAAATTGACGATTAATTTGATTAAAAAATGAATCATCATCTTGAAAGTTTTAGATTTGTGTTTCATTAAATAGAGCCAATTACATATCAAATAATCATTGATAATGGTTAGAAAATAACATGATCTATTTTTAGACAGTATAAAAAATGGACCTAAAATGTCAACATGAATTAATTCAAAATCAATAAGTGAGACAATATAAATTAGGAGAAAGGTAGACATGATTGTTTAGAACACAAACATATATATGTCACAAAAACTATTTTTATTAGCATTAATATTCAAAGAATTTCTAACAATGAAATTGAAATGAGACTTAAATGGTTGACCTAGACATGAATGTCATATGCCAAACTTATTACAATGCTTAAAACCAAAATAAGAATTTGATGAATAACTAAAACAATAATGATCTCGGTCATGCCTATTAGAATACTCAAAAGGAAAGTAGAATTTGATGTTAAATCTGCTTTGAGATAAAAGAGTCCATTTCAAGCACTACCCTAACCAATTGTCTTTTTTGTTGTTTGGTCATGGAATATACATTCAAAAGATGAAAAAATTGCATCATAAGTTTTTGAATTTTTTAATTGTGAAATAGACAACAAGATTAATAATAAGATTAGAATGTGGAAATCATTTGTAAGAACGAGTGTTGGTGAGCAACAAACATGTAATTGAAGACACGCACACACACATATGAAAAGTAGAATATAAAGAAAATAAAAAGATGTAAAAATATGATTAGAGACATTTGAGTTAGTAATCCATGAAAAAGGAAAACAAGCAATGGTTATACTTGTCAAATTTGCGGATGAACCAATAATATCTTCCTTGGCTAAATGTCTTAAGTTTATGGTATTGTTTGGATGATATCATATTAAAAAGATTAGTAGAAGTAGAAAGTTTTGGCCTTGTTTTCCTTATTTACTTATCTAGAAAGTCATGAATTTTATAACAAGTAGTAAAAGTATGACCATGTTTTTTCACAATGGTTATAGGAAGGATGTTGTGTTTGACAAGTGGTCAAGATGTCGAGTTAAAAGTTTGGAGTTTTGTAAAATCAACAATAAGAGTTGATTGAAAATTGATCACTTGTTGTTTTTCTTCTTGACAGACCAGATTATAGATACATTGAATTGAAAGAAATGGCTCCATTAGAAAGATTCGACTATGAATAGTTGAAAAACAATCATGAAGACCTTGAAAAAACTCCATGGCTCGATCTTAATTTTGTTGATGAATAATGCATTTAGCATTTCCACAATTACATGGGGGAGATGAAGTCACGAAACTTAACTCATCTGATAAAGATTTAAATTGTGTCAAATATAAAGAGACAAATGTATTTCCTTGCTTGAAAACAAAATTGATTATTTCAATTGATATATTTTAGGAGTATTTGATTAAAAAATATATATTTGTATATCAATCTAGATTTGTGTTGTAGTTTTAGCATACAAAATGCTTGGATGGATCTCAGACGAGATAGAATTAAGAATCCAAATGGCAACCAAATTATTACATCATTGTTGATCGAGAATTTTATCTTTCTAGTTGGTTGTAACCCATCAACAAAACCAAGTTTGTTTTTTGCACGAAATTTTATTGTCACTACATGACTCCATGAACCATAATTATCTTTTATCAAAAAATTTTTAACAAGAACTGTTGAAGGGCTATCTGAGTGATGAATGAGACAAGGGTTTGGGGTAGTAAATGATGTATTCTTAGAAGATGGAATTTTATGAGACCTGATAGATAATCACAAGATCAATTGATACCATGTAAAATGTAATAGTATAAAGGAAGAAAATGGTTTGTGAATTGATATCATTAATTGATATGCTAAAACTTAAATAGATAAAGTACACAAAGGTTGGTAATAATCTTGAGTGGAGAGAATTCTTTATAAAAAAAAGGCGAAAAATACAATAGTGGGTTTAAACACTAAAGTAAGAAAAATAGATTGATGGATTTGGCATTAGAATTAAGAAAATTAGGGATTACAATAATAAAGATAACAAAGATTTGAACATGATTACAAGTGCATCTAATTAATACTCCCCTAAATCTGGGGAGGGTCCCTATGTAGAAGTGAATGTTATGGTTCATCTCATGTATTGTTAGATTGATCAACCTAGTGTAGTTGGAGTCCCCTGTTATGTAACACCTTCATATGATCATATTAGGATTCTTCACAAATGAATTTTCAATTGTGTTAGAAATCTCACATTAACTAATAGAGTATATATGTGGAAATAATTCTCATCTTACAAGTTAATTTTGTAGAATTGAGTTAGACTTAAAATTACTTTATTAAGATAATATCAAAGTATTTTCTAACAATCATTCATAAATTTATTATGTCTCTTGTTATCGGACCACCTACAAATGTCAAGTTCTATAAATTTCATACTTAAGATGCCCAATCTTCAACGTGATGAGTGTGATAATATCACTTGCAATCTAAGTTCTCTGTTTGGAAGTTGTAGCAAAGCTATGTTGTTGGTTGCATAATGGTAGAGTTGTTGGATAGATTAGACTTGGTTTTTGTTCCTAGCTATTTTGGTCTTGCCCTCAGTTTTGGCCTTTGGTTGATAGGTGGTGTCATTGGTTGGTTGCTGTAGTTTCTTGTTCTAGCAAAGATTGGCTTTTTAGGTCTTTGTGTGTTCTTGATTTGTAACTAGTTCTAATTTTGTACCTTTAATCCTTTTATTTTCTCTTTTACTTTCTTTTCTTTTCTCTATACTTTTTGTGGGTTAGGTCTGATCCCCCCACTAACATAATAAATGGCACATCCTGTCTTAAAAAAAGTACTTAAATTCTTTGAACTTAAATATCAAAAATTGTTAACTAAGTTAACTTTATTAAATGCTATAAATCCAAAAAAAAATCTCTAAGATAATAAATAAGAATATTATTTATGAAAAATGTGATTAAAGATATTAAAACAAATATAATATATATTTTATATAAAATTATAAAAATTAAATATATTAAACATGTGTGAAATTAATTATTTTTGCTTAAACATATATTGAGATAGAAAGTAATGTATAAGATATATTAAAAGTCCGAGAAATTAGTTGTTTCCTCATTTCTTGCTTATCCACTTCTGTATCAAAAGTCAATATTATTAAACTAATTGTAATTGTGGATCTCTTGTTGGCTACACCCGAAAATCAATCCCTTTCATATCCTTACGAGAAGATTTACTATATGTCATTATCATTGAGTTGAATGCTGTTGCCATCAAGACTCTTGCTTATACCAGTTCAATTCCTTCAATTCTTCTGGCCAGGGAGTCCCCAAAAATATATTTCCTATTATTTTTTTCGTTAACCCAGTATAAAACATGTTACTTTCGACAATAAAACAAGTCCCCCCATGAGACCATGGCATTACAATTGATCTGGAGATGGAAAATTGGAGCTTCCTGTTCTTACTTTATACATACAACACTCAGATTAGCCTCGACTTTTCTTAATCAGTATACATAAGGTAGCCAATGGAGAACGGACAACACAGAAAGAATAGTTTATCCTCTCCTTTTTTCTTTGATTTCTATTCTTTTTAATAGAATAAAAGCGCACCACATTTTAGATTCATGTATTATTTTTAAAACATGTAATAAAACTCTGACATTTAGTTCCGTTGTATTCCAATTCATTTACCGAACTTTACCACGAAGTTTATAATATGTAATTAGATTTTATAAAACTACCTTCCAAACAATAATCCGCTTTAAACTTGCATTAATCACTATTGCAGATATCCAGATCAAGTACTCCTTGAATTGAGTTTCAGTTTAGTATAACGTTTGAAAACCTAAGAGCCATTTTATATGGATCATCTCGATATCAAATGCTGCTCAAATTGACTTCTACTAGTTCAGTTTAGCACAAGGTTTGAAAATCTAACAGCCATCACCATCCAGTTCTGTTGCGTCATCTAAAAGTCTATACCCAGGGTGGTTCACCCCATGGGAGAAAAACACGCATTATTTCGAGTACAACGGTCAAATTCTGCAACATGCTTTTTTATCTTTTCATGTAAACAACTACAACATATAAAAATAACTTACAGAAATTAAAAGAGAAGACATTACCAAAGAAACTTGTATTCCTATAACCACTGCTTGATTGCAAATCCAATTGGGGTTCATTAACTCTTTTTTTTCCACTGCAAACCAACTGAAAGATCTTGTTTATATATGTGGGATGGGGGTAGGTTTGTTCTTTATCCGTAGGGAAGCGTAGTAGTTCATTGGTTTAGAATTTAGATGCTTTCATTCTTTGCAATAATAACAGAAGAAACCAAAAATCATGGGGTAATTGCTGTCATTTGGAGCATTTCATAGGTCCTAAACGTTTGAATATTAAAAAACAGAACTGAAGCTCTTAGGGTTAATCAATGCTGCTTTTATAAATTGGAGGGCTTTATCTTTTTCATTATCAGTGCCTTAGATAACCTCTCCTTTGTTTTACACAACGTCCGATGTATGTTTATTTCATGTCCGTCTGTTAAGCCTAAACTCTAACTTCACCTTCAAGAACCTTAACAGAACCCTGGTCAGTTCAAAGGAAACCAACATAACACAATGAAATGATAAAAGAAGAGAAAGGGAATCGGTGCCACAGAGTCCACTTTGTACTCCACCAATCCACTAACACCACTTTTATATCAAATTTCTCTTAATCAGGACCTCCCAGAAAGACTAAACAATTAAAATATAGAGCTTCCCCACACACACACAAATGCACCCATCATCCAAACAAACCAACACCCACAAAAACCAAGCCTTTTACCACTAGGTTCCTCTTTAGAAGCCCTTCTTAGAGGTTTTCTATTGAAAAATATTATTTATTTATAACAGATAAGCTTGTAACTTGTATTTAACAGAGTCATCAACAGTGAATCAGGAAACAGCAAAGGCAAAAAGCACCAAAACCCAAACAACAACACAACCCTGGCAGTGCATCATAAGTGAATTTCTTTGAGTTAACCAGTAAAAGCAAAAAAAAGAAGAAGGAAGAAACAGAAGTGAAAGCATTTACGTACAAGGGCAATTTGCAGTGAAGAAGAATGCATGAATAATACAAACTAACTAGCAGTTCAATGCACTAAAGCCTAAAGAAAAAGAAAAGAAAAGAAAAGTATCTCCGTTGGGTTAACAGGAAACAGCAACAGAAGTGTGGAACGGAAGAGAAAAGGAGTGAAGAAAATCAAACCCTAAGAATCTGAAGCTTGGTGGAGAAGGCAATGGCAACCCAATCGGGCTGAGAGGAGGACCACTGAAGCTGCTCAATCTCGGCGCCAGCGGTGTAGGCGAGAATGGGGTCAAGGCCGCCCTCGACGGGCTGGCCCATGGAAGACAAGTCCCAGATGAGGGCCTGGGAATCATCCCCAGCGGTGCAAATGTGGCAGGAGCTATGGGGGGCCCAGGCAATAGCGTTGACACTAGCCTGGTGGCGCTGGAGCTCCACGACAGGTAGCGTGGGGAAGCGAATGTCCAAGACGACAACCTTGGCGCTATCCATGATGATAGTGGCCATGTAGCGGGGGTCCTGCTTGTTCCAGCCGAGGCGAACCAAGGGGGTGTCGGGCTCGGAGCTCTCGTAGATGATGGTGGAGTGCTCCTTGTCGCGGAGGTCGAAAACCCTAACGGAGCCGTCGGCGGAGACGGAGGCGAAGACGCCGACGCCGCCCCAGGCGATGTCGTAGACCTCCTTGTCGTGGGCGATGAGCTGGGTGTCGACGGTCTCCTTCTCGATGTCCCAGATGGTGCAGGTGGTGTCGATGCTGGAGGTGCCGATGCGGCGGGGCTCGGCGTCGTTCCAGTCGAAGGAGGTGAGGGGGCCGCAGTAGTCGCTGTTCTTGTTGCCGTTGAGGAGGGACTTGAGTTCGACGCGGGGGGGGTGGGGGTCGTCGGGGTCGGGGAGGCGCCAGACGCGGAGGAAGTCGGAGGAGGTGGCGAGGAGGTCGGGGCGGTGGCAGTCCTTGTCGGGGATGAAGATGGCCTTGGTGGGCGGGTAGGGGTGCTCGAAGGAGAGGGTGGGGTCGGAGCGGATCTCGCCGTTGGAGTCGTCGAGCTGGACGATTTCTACTCTGTTGGGGTACTGCTCGAGGAGGGAGGCGATGGCCAGACGGTACTTCTTGTCTCGACGGACGCTCCAGTTCATGGCGTAGATGTGCCAGGGGGCCTCGTATGTGTAGATCTCCGAACGCTTCTGCTGCTCCTCCGACCCCTCCTGGGTCGGCTCGCTGCTTGCGCCCATCGTCGATGCCTCACAATTATTCTATCCTTATTCCTTCCTCTGCTCCTTCACTTATAAATCAAATACCAATACCAAATGCACAAACAATTTTCCCCTTTTTTTTTCCCTAAATTTTTTATTTTGCTCTAAAATATTTATTTTTTTTAATTTCAAAATATAAATATTTTTTCTTTTTTTTTTATCAAATTAACATCTGTTGATATTTTATATTATCTCACGTCATATGTAAAGATAAAAAAATAATGAAAATATATAAATATAATTTATTAGTAAAATAAATACTAATAATAACAAGTGGGTGATCACAATTAGGTCAAGGATATAGCAGCCAGTCTAAGTGACTAATAACTCAAATTTTATGTAAATTCCTAACTTAAGTGTTGAATTTGTTATAGACATATAAAAATACTCAAATTAAGTTTTGGATACAGTTTTTGAGTATCTTTCTAAGTTTACAAAAAAGTCTTTGTTGACTCACTTCTTCCATCCCACTAGCATTGTGGATTTTGAAATGGAAGGTCTTATAGAGGCTTAAATGGAAGACCTTTGTAGGAGGAAAGGATGTGTCAAGAAACTAACAACAACAAAGGATTTTTTTTTCTTCATGAACAAGTGTCATTTCAAACCCTTAAATGTCTGACTCTTCTTCAATACCTTCATAGTCACGATGTTGTCAGTTCTCAACACAACTTGATCCTAATAATTGGCCACTTCTACAAAACTAGGCCAAGTACCTAGATGGCTTAATCAGCCACGCTCATAGATTTTTGTTCGTACGCTACACCGCCTCCTTCAAAAACATTTAAAGATGGACTTTTTAAAGTTTTGCCAAAAGTCAAAGGTGGTTTTTTTTTTATGGATTAAGTTCCTAGAGATGATGAGAACTCAAGTCCTAAGTTTCCTTTCTAGTGGAATAAGGAGCTGCTCAAGTACAAGGTTTGAGAACCAAATACCATGAGTTCCTAGGATCAAAAGAACTTAGAAATAATTAAGAGCCTCCCCTTATCGCTAAAAACAAAGGAGATCTTAAATATTTTCATCTTTCCTAATGCTCAAGAAAAACTTGAGAGTACGTGTTAGGTTTTCGGTTGTTAGTGCTCAATTGTTTTACATTGGTGTTGATGTATGCTTCATGTTATTGTAGAATTCATGGCTCACAATTTCAACTTTGATCGAAAGAGAGTCCAAGCTGCTATCGCTGCTTAAGATTCCCGAGGTGCCAAAAACTCCACTCTTAGGAACCCGGCTACTAGTACTAGTGTGGCCACCCCTTCCAAAAAACCTCTTTCAAGTCCAAAAAAGGTCTTAAAGGACAACTCCTACTATTGTTGTTGAACATAATAAGGGACCTCTTCCTTATAAAGTTTTCAAGGATAGGCACAAGAAAAAAAAACCTTAAGGTACTCGTATTCATAAGAAATCAAGGCCCAACGGAGGTATTTTTGCTATCGACACTGACACCTTTTTCAAGAAGGCCTTCGATTCTTTGTTAATCATAAACCTAAAGAGTGTCCAAGCTGCTATCGCTGCTTAAGATTCCCGAGGTGCCAAAAACTCCACTCTTAGGAACCCGGCTACTAGTACTAGTGTGGCCACCCCTTCCAAAAAACCTCTTTCAAGTCCAAAAAAGGTCTTAAAGGACAACTCCTACTATTGTTGTTGAACATAATAAGGGACCTCTTCCTTATAAAGTTTTCAAGGATAGGCACAAGAAAAAAAAACCTTAAGGTACTCGTATTCATAAGAAATCAAGGCCCAACGGAGGTATTTTTGCTATCGACACTGACACCTTTTTCAAGAAGGCCTTCGATTCTTTGTTAATCATAAACCTGACCGCTCTCTCCTCAACCAATTGAGAAGCGATGAAAAAAACCAATCCTGAGATAGCACTTGCTACCTTTTGCGATTTACAAGCCTAGTCTTGGGTTAATGCACAATACCTTGTGTCTGAGCTAACCAAGGTTGGTGTCAACCCATAAGACATCAACAAGCTTAAAGTTGATCTAGAGGAGAACTGAGCTAGCATTCAAAAAAACTTGAAGGTTAATGAAAACTTGTATCAAGAGGTTGCCAAATTACAGAGTTTAATTGGTGACTTGCATAACTGAGATAAGCAAGCTTAAGGTCATATTCAATGTGCCAAAGAGGCCCACAACAAGCTTGCCCTTGAAAATAAAAGTGTGAAATGTCATCTTTTAAAGATGACCAAGCTCCGAGATAAGGAGAAGGCAATGAGGGAGGCAGTGGAGGCGGGGTTGGTTGAGGCTCAACTTCAAATATACAATCACCATAAGATCAACTTCAACAAAGCCCTCTAACAACTCATTCACTTCTACAACATGTCGAACATGTCCATTTTTAACATAGATAAGTAGTCCATGAGGGTAGAATGGTAGATGTGGAGGAGCTGTCGGATGGTTATGGATTGGAGCCAATCAGTCTACTATTGAAGGATGCCAAAGAGCTGATCATCGAAAAGGTCCATGTTGAGGTCATGAACAAGGAGGATGAGGCAATAGTAGAAAATCAAAATTGGATTGTTGGAGGGGGCCAATAGTGCCCATTAGTTTCCAGGTATTGAATTTTATTTTTAAATCAATGAAGTTTACCTTAAATTTCAAGTATTCACATACTTTACTTTTCAAACTATTATTGTCAAATGTATCTATATAGTTGTTTTTATACTTGGGTTTTATGTTACTTGGACGAGAACTCGTGATTGGCAAGGTTTTTAGTACCAAAATTTTATACTTGAGTTTAGATTATTTGGCTAAGAACTCAAGCTCAGTCAAGGTTTTTAGCACCAATATTTTATACTTGGGTTTTATATTACTTCACTGAGACCTTGTGCTCAACCAAGATTTTTAGTACCAAGATTTTATACTTGGGTTTTAGATTACTTGGCCGAGAACTCATGTTCGACCAAATTTTTTAGTACCAAGATTTTATACTTGAGTTTTAAATTACTTAATCGAGAACTCATACTCGGTCAAGGCTTTTAGTACCAAGATTTTATACTTAATTTTTCTTCACCTCTTTGATAGCTTCTAAATGAAGTTGAACACTATATGAAAGTAATGAATGTTTTATTGATAATACTAGTGTGTCTTGTTAAAATCTCTTTGACTAAAACCTTTTTTATGGGAAAAAAGGCTAATGGTAGGAAAGAGTACACACCTCATTACAATATCAACTATAATAAAACTTTAAATGTGACGCATTCCTAGTTCTCGAAATCTCCTACCTGGACAAGTTTCCAATTTGTATATATAGTCCATTGTTCAAACTTTGAGTGACTTTAAAAGGTTCTTCCCAATTTGTTGAAAACTTCCCTTCAACCACATCTTTTATAGCTTTGCCTTGAACTCTCCACACCAAATCACCTTGGTGAAACTTCCATTTGACTAACTAAGAAGCATGTCTATAACTTACCTTTTTATAACTCGTTTCTTGTTGGATTTGAGCTTGGTCTTAGATGATGTCCATCATATCATGTTCAGCCCAGTAGGAGGAGCCATCATTATCTTGGTGTAAGATTCTTCTAGGGGAAGCCTCCTCTATCTCCATCGGTAGCATTGCTTCGACACCATAGACTAGTCAGAAAGGTGTTTCCTAAGTAGTAGAATGTGAGGTAAACTTGTAAGCCCATAATACTTCTGGCAACTCCGACCCATTTGCCTTTAACTCTTCCCAATATCTTCTTTAACTCACCCATGATGACCTTGTTGGCGACCTCAACTTGACCATTCGTTCAAGGGTGCTCTACAAAAGAAACTTAGTGTTGGATATAGAGTCCTTCAAAGAACTCATTGAGTCATTTGTCCATGAATTTTCTACCATTATTTGTCATAATAGTCTTAGGAAATTCATAATGACAGATAAATTTTTTCCAAATGAAGTGTTGCATTATTTTTTTCGTGATTCAAGCAAGTGGTTCTGCCACTATCCACTTGGTGAAGTAGTCGACTACCACTAACAAGAATTTGCATTAACCCTTGGCTAGTGGAAATGGACTCAAGATGTTGATGCCCCACATAGAAAACAACCATGGAGATACTATATTATGCATGGACTCCAGAGTAATGTCAATGAGATTGTCTTGTGGTTGACATGTGATACACTTTTTTACATAATCAGTTGTATCTTGTTAAATAGTCAGATAGTAATATCTAGCTCTAGCTCTTAGTATTTGGACTACAATGCTTCTTTCCCTTATGTGCATGCCACAAACTCCTCGATGTAAATCTTTCATGACATACTTAACCTATGCTTTGATAACATATTTGAGTAAAAAGGTCAAAAATCCTATTTTGAAAAGTTCACCTCTGTCAATGCAAAACTTGGTCGCTTAAAGCCTAAGTCTCTTGGTGACTAAAGGGTCTTTTGGCATTAAGTTATTTTTCAGATAATTGATGATATATGTTATCTTGTTTTCCTCCCCCTCAATTTGAATGCACTCTTCAAAAAACATGTTAGGCTCTTTCAAGGTTTGTTGCACTATCACCTTATGGTTGGGTCGCATAGAACTTACGAACTTAGACAAAATGTCGGCCTTGGTTTTCCTCTCGAGTTATATGTTCAACTCAAAAATTTGAAAAGCTTCCGTTTAACCAATTAACCACATGATAATATTTTAAAAGTTGAGGATCTTTGGTTTTATACTTATTTTTCAGTTGTCAAGCCACTAATTGAGAATCATTCTTGCACAACAAGCAAGGCAAGTTGCATGCCTACAATAATGGCTTCATACTCAACTTGGTTAATGGAAGCTTGGAATCCTAACTGAAGAGATTGTTCAATTACAAGACCACTTGGCCCTTCCAAAGAATTCCTACACCACTGCCTTTCTTGTTAGAGAAACCATCCATAAACAATGTCCACTCATACCCATGAAGGGGTTCAATGATCATTTCATTGATATTGCATCTGTATTGGACCTCTTGTTTGGGGCAAACCTTGTTGAGATCTGTATAATCCATGTACATGTGCCACTTATCATTACTTTTCTTAACAAAAACCACATTAGCTAGCCAAGTGATATACCGCACCTCCTATATGAAACCAATTTTCAATAGTTTGGACACTCTAGCCTTCACAAGTACACTTCTTTCATCACCCATTTTTCTTTTCTTATGGGTTACAAGTTGAGCTTCACGAAAGATTGATAGATGATGACAATGAAAAGATGGATCAATGCCTGACATGGTAGATGCTGACCATGTAAACAAGTCGTCATTCTTCCTCAAAGTGTTTATAAACAAAGCCTTCTCTTCCTATTCAAGTTGTGTACCAATGTTAGTACATTACCCTTTTGTACTCCCCAATTGAAACTTTTCAACCTCCTTAACTAGTTATAGTCAAGCTTTATCACTTACTATTGGGACTAGTTCTACCAAGTTTATCTATTTTTTACTTGTCAAAAAGGTAGGTTCATCAATCTGGTTAGGTAAGGGGTCAACCTCAACCTAACTTACCAATGGAGTTATTTTCAAACTCATAGCAGAACACTCCCTAACTGTCTTCTGGTTAGTGTGAATAGTTATTATCCTCCCACTAGAGGAAGAAAACTTAATAGCTAGGTGAGGCATTGAAACTACAACACCTAACTCATTATAGAAAGTCAACCTAGTAGAAAATTATAAGAGGTGTTGGCATTAACAAGTATATATCTTATACTAATCATTCTTCTCTTATCCCCATCATCAAAGTTAGTCAAAAGATCAACATATCCCCTCGTGTCCACCCTTTCTCTTAAGAAGCTGACCACGTTGTAGGGTTTGATGCTTAACTCTAGCATTTGTAGCTACTAAAAGGTGGACATGTATAAAATGTCGACATAACTACCTTGGTCTACCAGAGTCTTCATCACTACAAATTTTTTCTTCTCCATAGTGATCACCATAAGGTCATATTGATAAGGATTCAAGCCCTTAAAGTCCTAATCAATAAAGGTTATTGGTAACATCTTTTGCGAAGGTTGTCATGCGATGACATTCATTACCCTAACTGTACAAAGATGCCTCTTCCTCGAAAAGCTAGTGGAGCCTCCACCAGAAATGGTGTTAATTACCCTTCGTAGCCAAGAACTTGGATAGTTGTCTTACTGACGAACCTGTTCAGGACTTCTTTGGGATCTATCATTTCTTTCACACCATCTTTCTCAATGTTCATATCATTGATCTTAGTTGTGAGATCTAGTATCAACCTTTTTCACAAACTTGCGTAAGTGCCCAACCTAGATCAATTCTCCAATTTTATCTTTGAGGTTTGTGCACTCCTCAATCATATGATTGAAATTTTGGAGGTATCAAATTGTTACTCAATGTTTCCTCCAAGATTATTGAGCGGGTATCATTCAAGGGAATGTAATGAGAAAAACAAGGTTGTTTATGCTTCCTTGTATGTCTGGACTAGTCTCTTTCTTGCTTGTCTCCTTGGGATTTAACTTTCTCCTTGCCTCATTCTTCACCAAAATGTTCTCGAAACTCGGCAGGCTCCTCTATCTGCATATACTTCACAACTTTTCTATGAAGTTCTTCCATAAAAGGGTTGACTTCTTATGCAAAATATCTAGGAAAGAACTCGATATGTATCTGGTGTAGGGAAACCTCCTCGGCCAGATAAAAAATTTTGAAAGCTATTTTCCCAAACTTGTCCATGAAAGCCTTGAGAATCCTATCCTTACCTTACATGACCCTAATAAGGGTGGTCAAGGTCATAGCATGAGATCAGTCTATTTTAAAGTCTTCAATCTAAAGTCCTCAATCTTCAAGATTGCTAATGGTGATTTTACCTACAAAAAGAATTTTGATGCCTAATTTAGTGAGTGTTTGAGAATATGTTTTCAAAGTAAAAGTGTGTCTTTGGAGTGTCGGATATATTTTGATCCCTCTATTTTAAAATCCTCCTCGGCCAGATAAAAAATTTTGAAAGCTATTTTCCCAAACTTGTCCATGAAAGCCTTGAGAATCCTATCCTTACCTTACATGACCCTAATAAGGGTGGTCAAGGTCATAGCATGAGATCAGTCTATTTTAAAGTCTTCAATCTAAAGTCCTCAATCTTCAAGATTGCTAATGGTGATTTTACCTACAAAAAGAATTTTGATGCCTAATTTAGTGAGTGTTTGAGAATATGTTTTCAAAGTAAAAGTGTGTCTTTGGAGTGTCGGATATATTTTGATCCCTCTATTTTAAAATAAAGACATTTAACTTCTCTATTTTAAAAAGTACGAAATTTTGGTCTTATTATCAATTTGATATTTGTTAATCATTAAATTTTGATGTTGTTTAGTAACATGTAACTACTTAAGTGATATGATATTTAATAACATGACATGTAGAGATAAAAATTTAAAAATAACATAAAAAAAATCCTTATATATATTTGAACGAGTGATTGGTATTTATTTTATGAAAAAATCTTATTTAGATGGTTATTTTTTAGTTTTCTTAATCTCTAAATGTCATATTATTAAATGTCATGTTATTTAAGTATGAGTAAACATTAAAATTTAACAATTAATAGATGTCAGTTTGACAAGGGAATTAAAATTTTATATTTTTAAAATTAGAAAAACTAAATATCTCTATTTTAAAATAAAGAAACTAAAACTATAAATCGATAAAAATAAAGATATCAAAAGTGTAATTAAAAAAAAATCCGTTCACTATACTTTTACTTTTTCAAAGATTTTAAGGAAACTAAATTTTGTAAAAGGAATTATTTCATAAATAAAAAAAATAAGTGGACAATGCAAAAAGGAAAAAGAGAGTGTAAATTGCATGAGTCCATCTTATTACTCGCTGAAAACTTGGGAGGCTAGGATTTTTTTTTTTGGGTTCGTCCCTGGAGTATCCACCGCCGATAGTTGTGACTAATCTCCTCGCTACGAGGGAAACACCTCAAAGGGTGGGATAACTGGCCCCAAGATTTAACGCGGTTGCATACACAAGGCAAGATTCGAACTCCTGACCTTGCTTAAGCGTGGATCAACCCCTACCGCTGAACCACACACTTGGGGTTAGGAGGCTAGGCTTGTTGTTGATGAAATAATGGTTAAAAGTGCTTAGATGATGGAGTACATTCTAATGAAAAATGCTACTCAAAGTAAATGTCTATTTTTCTCTTCAATTTCCACTTATGTGATTATTGTTCTTCTTATTTTTGCATGTATGTTTGATCAATTATTTATTTAGTTAATTTTATAGATTCTCAATAATTAATTATGACTAATAATTATTATTGTATCATCTAATTAATTAATATATATTGTATTGAGTTTATAATTTTAATAACTTATGATGAGTTAAACTATTCGATTAGAAGATTTTATCTTTATTTAATTGTTATCTCGTTAAATAGAAAATTTATAATTTTAACAAAATCAATTATTATTAAAGGCAATTCATTTCTTATATCCAATCAAACGATTCATTGACATCATATAATATCTTATTTTTCATAAATAAAAATAGCAAAAAAATTTAATTATAGTTTATTTTATTAGCTTAATTTATTTATTTAAATTGGACTTATGAAATAAATTAAGTTTGTTATAGAAAAAATAATAAAATAAAATTTTGTGCTAAGTTAAGTTGTGTTAGTCTAATGGGTGTTAATAGTGACTCTTAAACTTCAAACATCCAACCTAAAACTTAGCACTTCATTACTAAAAGATGATGGATTAGATACATATATTTGAATTTCTAATTTTGTTTCATGACGTTTGGGAAGAAAAGTATAAAAGAAACTTTGTTTAAAGAGTAAGAGGAGTGAACGTCAAATCAGTAAATTACACTTTAAAATTTTGAGAATCATCATCTAGAATAAGATAAAGAGTGAAGTTATCTCATATATGACTTTGTGTATAGAATGTGACTAGTGAGATGATTCTTAAATCTCTTTATGTATGAAAAATAAAATTAATTATCAAATTTTGTTTCTCATCATTTCTAGATGAAAACATTAAATTTTCACATATTTTTATTTTCAATATTGAGAGAATTTGATGTTTGTTCTTACAACCCCATTTAATCCTTAAGTTTATATAAATTTAATTATTCATCAATAGAGTAATATTTTTTTAAAAAAATATTAAAGGTTTATTTGGAAGAAGTAAAAAGTCATTCTTAAACTATGTTTTCATTCACTAACATGAAAGAATTTCAAAAATTATTTTTGTAGGCATTTTTTTCACTAGACAACTACATTCTTATTTTGTTCTAAGATTTTCAAACTTATTTTATCAAATTGATTGATAATCATTAAATGATACATTATTGTTCAAAAAATTAAAAAAATTACCATCACGTGAATTTAGTAAACTCACATTACTTATATAAAAATAATGTTACAAAAAAAAATTAACAGTAATGACTAAAAAAAATTAAAAATATAAATATAAATATTAAAAATATAAGATAAAAAAATAAAAAAAAATTATTTTAAATTATAAAATTAAAAAATAAAATTGGTGCAACTATAAAGAGTAAAAAATAGTTTAACCTTCTATATTTAAAATGGAGATGGAATCTTGATCTTGATTACAAATGCCGAGTTCTAAATCCCTTCTCCCTGTGTATACTTCATTCAAAGGTTATTATTCCATATTTTTGTCTCTGCTCACAGGGTTGTGTGAAAGCTGTTTGTCCTTTGAATAGTGATAATAATAAATAAAGGTAACCTTATCCAAGGAGCACAACTATTTCCCCTTCGTGGGGTGGAGCATCTAGCAAGCAAATGAGCAACTTTATCCTTAGATTCCTTTCGTGATGGGTTTGGTTTATTTATTTATTTATTTTTCACTTTTTTGTGTCCTCAGGTTATCCCAATTGGTACTGACAACTGCTACATAGCAGATAACCGTTGAAGGTGGAATTGGGCATGCCATGAGGGTGACATGTTGCAGCCCAGACATTAATGTTCCCTACTTGGGAACCCCAGGAACAAGGTTTGGTTCTCAAGAAGCCCTTTTCTTTCTTCAAAAATGTAACAATTTCAAGAAGCTCAAACAAGTTCATGGCAGAATTATCCGTTTTGGTCTTTCCTATGACCAATTGCTCATAAGGAAGCTAATTGAGCTTTCTTCCACTTTTGGCAAATTGAACTATGCCACTATGGTGTTTGATCAACTCAATTCCCCAGATACCTTCACCTGGAATGTCATGATCAGAGCTTGTACCATTAGTGGTTCTCCCAAAATGGCACTTCTTTTGTTCAAGGCCATGCTATGCCAGGGCTTGGCACCTGACAAGTTTACATACCCTTTTCTGATCAATGCCTGCATGGCCTCTTCTGCCCTTGGTTTTGGAAGAGTGGCCCATGCTCTGGCAATCAAAATGGGATTTTGGGGTGATCTCTATGTGCAGAACACCATGATGAATCTTTACTTCAAGTGTGAGAATGTTGATGGTGCGTGCAAGGTGTTTGATAAAATGCGTGTTCGCAATGTGTTCACTTGGACCACCGTGATTGCTGGCCTTGTTGCTTGCGGGAAATTGGATACTGCCCGGAAGCTATTTGAGAGGATGCCTTCCAAAAATGTTGTTGCTTGGACTGCAATGATTGATGGGTATGTGAAACACAAGCAACCCATTGAAGCCTTTAATCTGTTCGAAAGAATGCAGGTTGATGATGTGAGGCCAAATGAGTACACTCTGGTGAGTTTGGTCAGAGCTTGTACTGAGATGGGTAGCCTCAGGTTGGGTAGAAGGGTTCATGATTATGCTCTCAAGAATGGTTTTGAACTTGAGCCTTTCTTGGGTACCGCACTTATAGACATGTACAGCAAGTGTGACAGCTTGGATGATGCAAGGACAGTGTTTGACATGATGCAGGTGAGAACCTTGGCCACCTGGAATACAATGATCACTAGCTTGGGTGTGCACGGGTTTAGAGTTGAAGCCATATCACTTTTTGAAGAAATGGAAAAGGCAAATGAGGCTCCGGATGCTATCACTTTTGTAGGTGTTCTCAGCGCTTGCATTTATATGAATGACGTGGAACTAGCTCAGAAGTATTTCAATCTTATGACAGATCGTTATGGTATAACACCTATCTTGGAACACTATGAATGCATGGTTGAAATCTATACTCGTGCTTATAGGTTGGATGAGATTTACACGTTAGGGAACGCAATGGAATCAAATCATGATGTTGCAGAATTGCTCCGGAAGAGCAAACTCACTAGTATCAATGACATAAAAAAACTTATACTAAAGCAATACGGGGATGTGGCATTCTCAGAACTAGTTCTAGATCATTCCTCCACGAGCTCAAGTGGGACGCAGATTGATATCAACCAAACAAGTAAATAAATTGTGACTTTGTTCTCATTTACTGTCACACAATGTGAGAGATTCAAGCCAAGATGTGTTCTGTGGAGCTTTTAAGAGAAGTCTATATACATAGCCAAACGGATGCCTTTAGTTTGTGTTTAACATGTTGCGGGATGCATGATGATCAGCGCAATTTGTCGTATAAACTAAATAAAAATTCATTCTGGGATGTGAAGAGTTCATATTTACAGTAAATATTTAAACAGATGAGATTGACACATGTTAGTATATTTTTATTTTATTAAACTTTTGTAATTGTATCCCTCGAGTCTATTAAGACAATTTGAGTCAATCGGTTATATTAACCTCTTTCTATTTATTTGTTTGAGGCTTGAGCCTATGTATCCTCTAGAACTAAAGTCAATTAGAGTAAATTAATTGCACATATTTGAATCCGTTCTGCTAGTTACTTATTAACTTAATCAAGCCAAAGATACAATGGTTTGACAATGAGAATTACATGTATTTACAGTGACTAAGATTAGATGTAATTATGTCATAATTCTTTTTCGAAATTATCTTTAGAGAATATAGGATTTTAATATACCTAAACACAAGTACTTAATCTCTTTGTAAGGTTAAGAAATACTACTCTCTTTGAATGTTCTGGACTTTAACAATTGCTAGAGTTTTGTTTTTTTAAAAGGTTCCTTATATTAAAACAAAAATTAATCATGTTTACCAATGAAAAAATGTTATATTACACCATATTTTCTAGATTTGTTGTTAAATAACCAATGTAAAAAGTCTTACCGTGACATTTTTTAAATTTGGGAGAATTATTTTGAATCAATTCCTTTTTAATTAATGTAGAAATAATATTTTACATCGATTAAAAATTAAACCGATGTAAAATGCTTTTTTAAATCATGAAATATGACCCACATTTTTATATTAGACATTCCTATTATTTGTCTTATTCTTAATTCGTAACTCTACTAATTCTTTGAAATTGTCATTTTTCTTATCTCTATTGTACTTTCCTTTCTTATTTTCAAAGTCGACAAGGGTGTCTTGAACAATCTCAAACACTTTTCAACCACAATAACATTGTTGGAAGTTCTTTATAACTTTATCGTCTTTGTTGTCATCTTAATCTATTAAGAAGAATGTATTTGATTAAGATTTTAAAGGACTTTTTTAGTTAAAAAAAATCCTGCGAATTTTAAAAGACTTTGTAGGATTTTCATGACTTTTAAGACTTTGCAGGATTCTGCAAGACTTTAAATCAGGATTTTAATGGATTCTACAAGACTTTTAAATCAGGATTTTAATGGATTCTATGGGATTTTGTAGAATTTTTGTGGATTTTTGACATATGATAAGATTTCAAAAAAAAATTCATACATTCAAATTTAAAAAGAGTCAAAGATAAAAATAATAAAAAAAAAATAACAATGTTTAGATAAATAATAATAATAATAATAATAATTCTCGATAATATCATTTCCTCTTAAATAACATTCACCTACATATCTATAACTAAAAATAATAATATAATAAAAAATAAAACATGTTAAAATATTTCAATCAAGTACGACCAAAATAACACCAAAATATTTCTTTGCATTAGTATCGAGCAAATCAGCCGCCATGTAACGATTTTGATCATCCAAATTTGGGATCTCTTTTATGGCACTTCAAATATTTTCCTTTGCCTCTTGGTATCTTTCTCTTTTCTCCATCAAGTTAGACATTTTTTCAAAATTGGCAGCTATAGTCTCAATGTTAATAGATATATTTTCTAGAACTTTGGCTTGACTATTGTTCCCAACTGAGTTAGAACTCACTCCATACTCGAACCTACTCCGCTTACAATTAATTGGTTTTTCAGTGGAAACCTCTGAGCTTAAAGGGGGTTGAGCTGGTGAAATGCTTGGGTGAGGTGATGGAGGCTGGTAAGGTGGTTCACAGTGATATGGTATTATGAATACATCATTATTAAGATTTGGTGTTATGAATACATCATTGCTAGATATTGCAATGTTTTATGTTAATTTTTTTTAAGATATAAAAAAAAATTCTAATTTCACAATATATAAATTAAAAGAAAAAATTATAATAAAAAAAAATTGTTGAGTTAAAAGGAGGAGGGATAAGAGTAACAAACTCAAGAGAAGGAAAGAGATCGCAATTTTTATGCAGAGAAGGTTTTTCTCGCAATTAAGATCCATTTTCATCTCATTCGGTTTTTCTCGCAATTAAGATCCATTTTCATCTCATTCTGTAACAGCCCAGCAACCCGCATGTGGATATTGGCCGCCCACCCCCCTCAAGGGAGTCCAGCGCCCTCGCTGGCACACCGGCCCGGGTCCCGGCTCTGATACCAAATGTAACAGCCCAGGAACCCGCATGTGGATATTGTCCCGGCTCTGATACCAAATGTAACAGCCCAGGAACCCGCATGTGGATATTGTCCGCTTTGGTCGCAGCCCCCACGGTTTTGCTTCTGGCAATGGCATGCATGCCACCCCAAAACGCGTCCACACAAGGAAGGTATCCACACCCATATATATGGCATGCTTCGTTCTCCTTCCTAACCGATGTGGGACTTCACACTTCACCCCCCTCAAGGGAGTCCAGCGCCCTCGCTGGCACACCGGTTAAAATTTTAAGCATTTTTTTGTGTTATATAAAGGAAAAAATTCAACTAAATAGAATAAAATAGAGCAAGTCAATTAAAGAGAATGAAGAGAAAAATAAAGCAAATCAATGACACTGTCATTTACATATCGAAGTTTCACAAAATAAGGGAATGGAATGGGAACAGTACTACAATATTATATATGAGCAATAAACAGTAGTGCAATATTATTAGTAGAGAAAAAATGGAGAAGACGGGAGCAAAGAAAAAAAAAATATGAAAAACTCATTTAGAAATTCTTGAAGCACTTAAAAAGTCACTTCAAACAATCCTTCAAAATCCGATGAGTTTGGATGGAATTGTTTTATGAATTTGGTATTTATAGATAACACTAGAAAGTCCTTCAAAATCCCTCTAACACAACAATCCTTTAAAATCCTTATATTTTTGAATACCAATAGATTATTTTTAAGTTGTAAAAAATCTTAAATGAATACCAATGGATTTTAATGGATTCTTTAAAAAATCTTGAAAATCCAGATTGAATACTACTGGATTGTTTTTAAGTGACATAAAATCCTGATTGAATACGAATGAACTTTTTTACTCAAAAAAAGTCTTTTAAAATCCTACGAAATCCTAAACCAATACACCCTCCTAAGTTACTCTCTTATTTTTTGTTGTCTTTGTTATTTGTCTATATTCTTTTCTCATTTACATTTTTTTTATATATGGCAATGTTAGTACATGGTCATGACCATTATAGAAAAGTTGTATAAGAAATTGGTGACAAATATGATATTTACAAAGGATAATAAAGTGTCTAAAAATAGAGAATTATTCATTTATATATATATATATATATATATTAATTAATGTTTTAACTTTGATTTAAATTCAAATTTATTATGTCTCAATTCTTATTATTTAATTACATTTATGATTTTTTTAATTATTCACATTATTTTATTTTAACTTTAATATTAGTACAAAATAATTTCCATTCAAATCTATGACAACTTTAAATTAAATGAAATGGACGTCTATCAAATAATATAGGACTGTTATAGAGATTTGCACTTGTGATGATGAACCTTGTTGGGCCTAAGTAAATCATTTAATTTGATTTGATTTAGATCCTTAAATATAAATTAATGTTTTAATTTTGTTTTTAAATTTAAATTTTATTATTTTTCAATTTTGATTTGGTTGCATTTATTATCTGCTTTAATTATTCACATTTATCATCTCTTCGTATCGATATAATTATAAAATATTTATAGTTCAAAACCTACAAATGCTTTAAATGAAATTTATGTCTATGGTCAAATATTTGAGAAGCATGCCAAAATCCTAATCAATAAAATGAATTAAAAGTCGTATGGAATTCGCACGGACTTGCACAACAGTCATTCAATATTTATTTACTATTCCCTTGGTTTCTTTATACTACTTATGTTTCACAATAACTTTAATTTTAATATTTAAAAAATATTTTGAACTAAATGATGTTCACTTTTTAAATGTAATATTAATAGGTGTTTTCTCAACTTATTTTATAAATTATTCAACTACCACAATTTAAAATAATATATTTATTGAGAAAATAAAGTATTTTTATAGAATTATATAAAAAATAATATATTTATTGTTACTATTAATCTATATATAAAAATTTTAAATTGCAATCATTGTAAAATAAATAAAAATAATTGTCAATTTTTTAAGAATTTTTTTATTTATTTAATTGTTATCAAATTTTAAGATAATGTTAATTACTTTTTATTAATTATATTCTTATATTTTACCTAACTTTAATTAATATATACATTGATAATTAATATACATTTATTACAAAACAAAAATAAAAATAGTATAATAAGAAAGATCAATATTATTTTATGAAAAACTAAAAAAATATTGCCTTCTTGAATTTGTCTATAACAAGTTAAACAACTATTAAAAAAATGAGAAAAATTATTTAATGTAAAATACATAAATTTAAGAAATTAAATATTTAAGAATAACTGGAAAATTATAATTCTTCTGCCATTGTTATCGTCTCTTATTCTCATTTTTTTTTATTTTGCCAAAAAAAAATGGTCGTATTAATGTTATGTATTAATGTTATGGTTGATGTGATTGTTGCTTTAAGTACATGTTAACAATGTTTTTGATGTTATTGAATAATATTTGAGTGGGAAGACTATGCCTTGGATAATTTATTTTACGATTTACTTAATAATATTACACTTGCACAAATTACACTTTAGATAAATCTAATAATATTACACTTGCACAAATTACACTTTAGATAAATCGTTTCATTGTTAGTAGAGGTGGAGCTTAATATAGTCATAGGATACATACAAATTTTTAGACAAATAAAGTACATATATAATTATTAAAAAATATTTATATTTTATTTTAAAAATATATTTTTATGTATTATTAATTTAAGTCATGATAAATTATTTTACAAATAAATTTATTTATTTCTTGATTATTGATAATTTCATGTCATTAAAAGAGTATAGAAAAATTTTATTTACAAATTTTTAATCATTAAAAGAATGTATAAAAAATAATGTTTAGACAATTTTTTTTTTTATTTTTAACAGAAACTTTTATGTCAATAATACACTTTTAATGTTTTTCATCAAGCCAATAATTATAATTGATTTAATAATATTTTTAATTATACATTAAGTTATTTCATTA